TCCTCCTCTTTTTTATAGTCCAGTCAGAAGCAGGAAGAGAAAAGGGTGGAGGAGGGTAGAGAATGCAACGTGTGAATGTGCGTGCCTGATTTTTTTTGGGGGGGGGAGCGGTCGAGAAAGCCAAATTTCTCGAGGTGTGTGTATGGAGAGGGGAAAGTTGAGAGTGAGGGATCCGGATGAAACACGAAAAGGGGGAAAACACCTCTTGTGTAGAGAGCCTCCTACGGGCCCAATCCAAACGGGCACGGGGCGTAGGTCTGCCTAGAGGCAGGATGAGGCCTAGTGCGAGTAGGATCGGGTAGGGAGGGGGCCGATGCCGACGGGTCCGAAGGGAAATTATTCAAAATAAATAACATTTCAGATACATTTAGGTAGACCCTAGTTTTTGGATTTGAAAGTGGAGTTGCCAAGGGGAAAAACCATCTTTAAAAAAGAAAACACGTAGAAAGAGCGTGTGTATAGAGTTAAAGTAGTTCACAAAAGAGATAAAACAGTATTTCTAAAGTAGAGATAAAAGGAAACCCGCCCACCCCCCAAGCCCGACCTTACTTAAAACATACTGTGGGCAAACGATTTGAGATTTGAGGCCAGATAAAAAAGCTTGTTGCGTAGGTGCCTGCCATGGCGCTGAAAGCATGCGTGTAAGTTGCGGGATAGATTGGGGAGGGGGAGGGGGAGAGGGACACGGAGGTTGGAGGAAAGGCACCAGGGTCCGAAGGTGAGCGGACCTGGGGCGCTAGAAGGAAGCACGATGCCCGTTTGTGCCTACTAGGAATAAATGGGCGATGGAAGGCCCCGGGGTGGTGGTGTCTCATTGAAGTAGGTGGGGGTCCTCTGCTATGGGGAATACATAAGGCTTTGGCAAAGGTAGCAGGTAGGTAGGCTAGGCATATATATATTGTGAAGGTGGTAAACGGCTGGGTGGGTTTTTTATGTTCTTGTGGAGGTCGATGGGGAACGTGGCATGGGAGTTGGGGTGAAGGGGGAAAAAAAGAAACAGAACAAATGATAAAATACCAGAGGTGAAGTGAAAAGCAAAAAAATCTGAAGTAGTAAAGGGTGAATGGAATTTATTAGGTAGTAGGATTAAGTTAAAAGGGGGAAATGGAAGTACAGATACATGGATATTCGCCAGAAGAAAAACACAGCAAATTTGAGGTGTGATCCTCTTTAGAAATGAGGATGATAAAATGACAGGCTCTATAAGGCTGTGTAAATGAGACACACAACATGGCGGCCTGGCAGTGACTGTGCAGCAGTAGCCATGCTTTGCTGTGCCGTTATAGTCTCCTCAAGTAACATGCTTTGGGCTCAGCTTTATGAGCTGTTCCAAGTGCATAGCCATCAGTGTCATTTTAAGTAGACAGGTGTGCTCTAGTGATGATGTGATGAAAGAAAAATAAGGATTATAAACAAAGATTGCTTTGTAACCTCTAGTGTGCTAGTGTAGATTGATGAGATTGAGAATGGATTTATGTTGCAAAGGTAGACATTTCCTTCTTTCCTTGCTCTGTTTTATGGGATTGGCATCTGTGGGAGGAGGAGGAGGATCATTATACTTCTGGTATCCTTCCGTAATAGATGTAGGGCAGACTGGCAGTGAACGGATGTGTGTCTGTGTGTGTGTTGTTTCTAGGTAGAGCAGCCCATTCATTAAGGCAGAAGAAGAAATGTTCCACCCTATCTAGGAACTGCAGCAGCCTGTAAAATCACAATATGGCGCCACAGATGCATATGGTACAAAAAGAAAGCATATACTTTAAATTCAGCTCAGGCATTTTCTGATATAATTCAGCTGGCTGCTTGCAGGTTTTGTTCTGCCTTTTACCCAGGAACATGTGACCCTTTTCTAACTTAAATTGGAGAAAAGTACTACTGTGTATATTCAAAATATATCTGCTCTCCTGTCCTTTTCCTGCCCCTTACCCACCCTTCTCAGCTTCCTGCAGGATATTGGTGGTTTTTTTTGTTTTGTTTTTGTTTTTGCTTATTTAATCTAGGATTTTAAAACAATTTTTAAATGGGATAGGTTGGGTGATTTAAAGATATTGTCCAGACAGTCCTCCCCACCCTTAATTTTAACATGTTTTCGGCTTCTCTGGAAGTATATAACATAATAAATTGCAGTAATATTGTTTGGGTTGGGGTGGTTGCATAAATTTCCCCTTGAGTGTATATAAAGATATCTAAAATCTGTACCTCTAACTAGATTTGCCCAGCTGTCTATAGTATCCAGGATGAAAGAAGAGATTTGAGTTCTCTGGAAACCACTTTTGAAAGTGTTGTCTGGAGATGGTGTCATTCTAGTGTAAACAGAGTGGTTTGATTACATTTTTAATAAATGATTCTGAAATGTGTGACTGGTATTCAAAATTGTAAATAAAATGTATGAAATATGTATTTGTCTTTTTATTTACCGGGTTTAGTGCAGAATCTGTTTCCAGAGTGTTGAATTATTCTGTTGCTTGGGTTTACAATGAAAAAGATATGAGGAGGTCTCAAAACATTTGCAGAAGCCCAACAGAATGACACAGATCTACACATTTTCAACACTGTTTTGTGTGATATTTGAAGGAGTACAGCAAGCATTCTGTTGAGAACTCTGAATATGGTTTTCCTGCAGATAAGCTTGAAGTTAACTTGCCTTCAGTTCCTTGGTGGCTTGTGTTGCTTCCCCCCCCCCCCCNCAACTTCCTGGTAATCTAACTTGGGTTTCCCTCAACTTGGTGAACCTCCAAGGTATCCCAGTGTTTCCTTTCCATATTTGCCACTTGTTTACTATAGACTTAGGTTTTCCTCCGAAGTGGCATTCCACTCATTTAAAACTGGGCTTTGCTTCCTTATTCCTGAAACTAGATTCCATGGAGGGCATGTGTCTCTGTTTCACAAGAACTTCACACAGTTTCACAGCTTTGTGTGTTGGGGGGATATTTTGCAATCTGTAAAATAGCTGCTTTTCTGTCAAGGGGGAAGAAAAATACATGCTTTGAGAGTATGATCTCAAGAGTCAGCTGTTCCTTTGGGCAGGGTTTTTAAATCAGTGCATGAAAAAATCCAGACTGCTTTTAGTATTTCCTAAGCTTTGTTATAATGCAGTTATTTGGTGTAATAAGTAAAACTGTCCCAATAGTTTGCACAGCATCATGTTGTGCTTAGTCCACTTTATCTGTTTCTAGCTGTTAGGAAATTAATACTTTCCCCTATACATCATAAATGCCTTATTTATGGTTTTGTTTCTTACAAAGGCACACTTTCCCTTGAGTTTTTCATTATGCAGCCACACCTGGTTGAAGATTTGCTGATACACTTTGAAGCAAATTTCAGATTACGGTAGTCTGCTGAAATGGTTTCAATAACTTTGGCAGAAAATCTCCCAGACCGTATATTTAATGGTAAAGATAAATCAAGGTTGGTTCGGGTTTGCCCCTATTGAAAAAAAACAGTGTAACATGACTATTGTCTGCAGATTTCTTCACCACATATTTGAGCTGCTTTAATGTGGAAACACTAGTTGAAGAACCAAACCTTTTCTGGTGTAGGGATTTTGGCAATGCAATCTTAGCCAGATGTTGGGTAGTAAACGGGAATTAAATTACTCCAGAACCCAAGTGATATCTACACTGATGCTTTTTGGAAGCTTGCTGCCCCTTCCTGATACGGATGAGATGCTAACATACATTTTGAATGGACCCAGGAAGGCTTCCACGTTCTTTGGAAGTTCAGTCTCGACAGAACACAGCATGAGCTGCACAAAGATGGGGCACTTCAGATATGGAGAAAAATGTCCGACTTGGCTCCTTTGGCATTGAGGAGTATCCAGACTTTGAAGACTATCTCCTATGCCAGTCTGGTTTCAAGTCCGAGCCTGTCTGTTCACTGCTGTAACTTAATTTTGGACTTATACTCTCTTTTTTTGCTTCCAGTTCTACAAGTTTGAACAAATCTTAAGTAGGATTGTTTCAGCTGGCCAGAGTTGGTGACATTTGCATAGTATTAGATTGGATTGTACAAAGCAACTTAATTCCAGATGTGACTCACTCAAAAACGCTGATATTCACCATCTCTCCACATAATCCCCCCTTGTATTTTATGTGGCTTTAAAAATCTTTATGCTGGTTGCTGTCCTGTCTAAGATTCCAGCAGAAATTAGTATGTACTCCCTCAAAAAATATTCTAATCATAAAGTATACAGAATGGTTATATTTGACACCCTGCTTATAAGTTTAAGTGGAATATCCCTTTCTTCTAAAAGAACCCACAGTCTAGCATATATTTCTAAGCTGTTAGTTTTGACATAGGTTCTCAAACCACAGGAAAGAAGCTTTTTTTCATAATCGTTACACAATAGAGGTATGGTAATTTGGGGTATGGTAACTTGAAAGAGAAATCAAAATATTTTTGTTAACAACTAAACGTCTCAAGTTTTCTTCTTATCACTCCAGGCTCCTTCTAATGAGAAACTTCCTGTTATGTACCTTATGGATTCCATTGTGAAGAATGTTGGAAGAGAATATCTTGCTGCGTTTACTAAAAACCTAGTTGCAACATTTGTTAATGTGTTTGAAAAGGTATATATAGATGAGCTTTCCTAAATGTTCTTAAATTTGCTTTTGTATAAATAAATATTTGGCACTCAGTCTTGGGTTTTCTTGGGCATGAGAACTTTTTATATCTTAACTTTATTTATGTTCATCTGTTGCTCAGAAAAACAAGGAATGCAAAATATGTGTTGGTGCATAGCTTAAAATGCATATGACATATTGAGACAAACGATCAATGACATGCTTTTTTGCATTTTGGCACTTATTACAATACGCTTTGTGTATTACATCAGAGGAAGTGATTACTTGCATTGGCCACATTCCTTAGTGCTCACGGAATCACATAAGGTGTTTTTAGCCCTACGTAGAGATTTGTGATCCAAGTGAATTTTTGCAGATGCTTCTGTTCTTGTTAATTTCCAAGACTTTGGGTAACTGATAATAGAGCAATCTACAAACCTGGAATACTTAATAGAACCTGCTTGTCAAGATCTGTAAAAAAATACAGTATTTGGATACTTTATCACTGATGTGCCTCTGTCTTTTTCAGTTCTTCATTTTCCCTGTTCATGCTTTAATTGCTGCATGTCTTGGGTTCTACCACTTAGAAACAGCAGATTTGTGTTAAAGAGAAGTCATTTGAATTAATTTGAATGTTCAAGTGCTGCTTAATTTTAAAAATAGGGTGAAATACTTGAGGTACCCCAGCCATTGGGACTTCAGTCGGTATATCAGTGGTTCCTGACCTGAAATTCTGGCCCGCATTGCTGGTAGTGGAGACTTCTGATAATTGCAGTGAAGAGCATCTGGGTTACCCCAGTTTCGGAACCACATCCTGATTAAGTTTTGTTTATTTTTAAATAGTCTGTAGGTTGGATCCTTAATTATGAGTAAACACATTAGTCTAATTTAAGTTCCACTGGTTTTGGAAGCTTTAAGGATAACAGTCTGAATCTAGCCTTGGCACTTGAGAGATACACCTTTGTGAAGTAATTATCTGAAAGCCGAAAAGCTGCATCTATTTGAAAGCATGCATACACTTTTTATTGGCTGTTTAAGTGGTGGAAAGATGTTGAGTTAATCGATTTACACCTATTTTATGACAAGTTTATTTACTGCTTCAGGTACATTTTTACACAGAAATACGTTTTGATTTGAATCTGACAGCAAGCAGTAATGTAATGAGGCAGTTGATACTGCCTCATTGCAAATGCTGGGAACACGGGCAATGAAAATAATTATGTTTGTTTTCTGAGTTGCTTTGAGCGTTCTATTGGGAATGTGGCAGGTTATGAGCTTTTAGAAATACAATGAGGTATTACTATATTCCAGATGTGAACAGTGCAAATTTGATAATCTATGTACCCTGTTTCCCCGAAAAGAAGACCTAACCTGAAAATAAGCCCTAGTATGATTTTTCAGGATACTCATAATCCCTACCCCAAAAATAAGCCCTAGTTAACTGAAACCTCACCCTCCAGCATTGTGCAGCTACCAGAAGAAGATGACATGACTGTATTTAAATAAATGTACAGTAGATTGTTGTACATGAAAAAAATAAAACATCCCCTGATGTGTTTTTGAAGCAAAAATTAATATAAGACCATGTCTTATTTTGGGGGAAACACGGTATAAATGTATATGGTCTGAAGATAACTGGGCCGTTCTACTTCAGTAGTGTGCACTTAGTTCTCTTCAGTAGAACTTTAGAACATATACAGGAGTAGGATTATATATCTGAATGCAGTATCTGATCCTGAGTTGTTGAAAGAAACAACATATGTTATATTAACATAACAAGCCATAGAATGTTCTGTTGTTCTTAGGTGGATGAAAATACTAGGAAAAGTTTATTTAAGTTGCGTTCCACATGGGATGAAATTTTTCCTTTGAAGAAACTCTATGCTCTTGATGTCCGAGTGAATTCAGTAGACCCTGCTTGGCCCATAAAGCCTCTTCCCCCTAACGTGAATACTTCTAGCATCCATGTGAATCCTAAATTTTTAAATAAATCGGTAAGTTGTGACATCTGATCTGATACATATTGCTTTAAATTGTACTTATCTTACTTTTTGTCAAGACTCTTAAGAATTCATGTCAAGGTAGTATTTAATTGAGAATAGGGAGCTAGTTCTCATCTCTAAATTAAAGTTAATTATTAGCTACTTGTTGGATTGGTGAATTGAATAGATAATTATCATGCCTGATGATAATTTGTGTTTAGAAGCAAGAAAAATGTTTAAACAAAACAGGGGAATCTAGCTTTGAGTTAATAGTTGTTTCTTCACATATCTAAGAATTGTTTTACCATTTTCTCGGTAGCCTGAGGAGCCTCCTGCCCCTAGCCCTGCAATCTGTTCTCCTCCCGTGTCTTGTTCTACGGTGTCTTCTACTCCAGTTGTTCCTGAAATGCAAAAGAATTTGACTCAAGAGCAGCTAATAAGACAACAGCTACTGGCAAAACAAAAACAGTTGTTAGAACTTCAACAGAAAAAATTAGAACTGGAACTAGAGCAGACTAAAGCACAACTGGTGAGTAGGCTAGCTGTAACTGCAGTATGTGACAGGATGGAGTATTTTTCTTGCTGACAAAGTAAACAAGGTCTTTAGTATCAATAATCTGTTCCTTTGATTTTAGGTCACTAGCATAACTTCTGTAGGCCACATAGTTATTTTCTGAATTGGAGAGCTAACTACAGCTTGTAGCTTGCCTTCGTCTCTTCAACAGCCACTTTCTCTATTCCTGTAATGATACGAGTTTGTTCAGAAATTATATTCATTTGTTTATGGAAGTCATTTATTCTGACTACATGTTAGAGTTGGTTTGCAAACGACTGTTTCTGTTATGGCATTTTTCATGCTCCTGGATGTGATTTAGCATAGTTTGGTACTTGAGACTGTTGCATTACAAGTTTTCCTGTCTTTTGCTGATGTTTTGAACAAATGCAGTTTTAGCTAAGACTGGAAAATCATTAATAAGGAGAAGCTACACCAAAATTTATATCTGTATGGTGATATTTTATATCTTTCATGCCTACATTTCTTTCTTATTGTAATAAGTTGAAACTCAAAGATTGCGCCATGCATTAATGGAACACGTTTCCTTGTGTAGGATTTTTGGAATGCCCGTGTTTTAAATGCTTACTTTTTTCTTTTTCTGTATTTTAGGCAGTTTCTCTTAGTGTTCAACAAAGTGGCCCAGGTGTGGGTCAGGCGTCTTTGAAACAGCATGTTCCACAGCCACCTCACATGCCAATTAAAACTCCCAATCAGGTTGGTTTGCCACCGGAGAAAAAACGTCTGTCACCACCTCAGGATGTCAAATTACCCAATAGAGATCCTCGTCTTAATAGAACAGGTCAATATTCTTCTCATTCTAAAGATCAAAGCCATAGGAAAGACTTCATCATTAATCCAGTCAGTCATCCTGATCCAAAGGCCAGCAAAACTCTGCAGGCCGAAAGGCAAAATGTATCAAAACAAGAGAAGCAAAAGCAGAGTGAAAAATCTCAGAAGTTTGACCAATTTGATTCAAAATCAAAATCACCATCTCCCTTGCAAACCAGGCCCCTTCATGCTAAAGAAGCAAGAAACCAAGAGTGTGAGAACACCAGGGTGTCTGAAATAAGTAAGAGAGATCCCAGATTAAAAAAGCATCTTTTAGAGAAGCCAGATGGTAGAGATGATGATATAAAAGAAAAGAGAAGAAGCATGGAAAGAAAAGAAGAACATAGATCAATTGGTGGTAGAAGTAAAATGATCAATGGCATTGTGCAAAAGCATGATCTCGGTACTGAAGAGCCTGAAAAGCAGGGTGGGAAACTAGGGAGGTCAAGTACTCGAAAAAGGTCACGTTCCCCTAGGTCTCGGTCACCATCTTCCCATTCTCCGAAACGAAGAGAGAGAAGGTCTCCCAAAAGAAGGCTTAGGAGTCTCTCTCCTGGGTCTAAAATTGGGAAGCCTCGGCAGTCTGGGCCAAAGCAGTCTCACACAGAAGAATTTGGGCCAGGAACACGAGATGAAAGGACCTCTAATAAAAGGAGCCTTAAGCAGGAAGTGAGAGACTCGAGGAGGCTGAAGAAAACTCATGAAGACCGATTGCAGGAAGGGACGAACCAGCATTCTTCAAAGGCAGCTTCAGAACCCAAAGAAAATGTGGAGAACTGGCAAGGTTCTAAGTCAAGCAAAAGGTGGAAATCTGGTTGGGAAGAAAATAAGAAGTAAGTGGCATTTGATCTTTAGCTAAAGTTGATTGATGTAGCACTGTTTTAAGTGCTTGGTATTTGGGAAGATTGTGTAAAATAACATACTGTCTTCATTTTTAGCCCCCAGCTTGCTGACGAACATCAAGGACTTTGTAAATCACCTCATCAGAGGCATAGGGAAACTTGGGCAAGTAGTAAAGGAGTTCCATCACCTCGTGCACTAAAGCAGCAACATCGATTAAGTGTGGATGCCAACTTGCAGATTCCAAAAGAATTAACTTTGGCAAACAAAAGGGAGCTACTTAAGAAGGTAATATATCAGATTGTTATTGAGTTTATATAGTTAAGTCCAGTCTTAGTTCCAGACCAAATTAAGGAATGGAACGCGTCATGTTAATTTCTATGGTTTTACCTGGTTGTGACTATGATGGGGTTTAATCTGTAGTTTTTCTACTATGAATATTTTCAGTATTAACCATTACAATATTCTTTTGTTGCAGGCAAATGAGCGCTTATCATCAGGTGAAATAACACAAGATGACTTTCTTGTTCTGTGTCACAAGATTCATCAGCTCTTCCAGTATCAGGAAGGAAAGCACAGATACAATGTGCGGGATAGTCCTACAGGCGAAAAAGGAATTTCAAAAAAGAAGCCTCTTCTGTCTGAATCAGACTTAATATATCACGAACATAAAGCTAAGCTAAAAAGAACACAAGTTCAGCATTCATTTCCAAGACTCAACATGGTAGATGCTGAAGAAATGTTAGACTATCACTTAAAGGATACATTTCTTTCTGGAATGGACTGTGAACAAACAAAAAGTAAATGTGGAAGTCAGTTTGGGGAAAGATCAAGACGACATTCTCCTGTTGGTGGCAGACTGTACTCGGATAATGCACCACACGATGGTCGTAGAAGACATGATGAAGCAAGCTCTTCAAAAGGTAGAAGGAATTGTGAAAGAAATACATAAAATACTGTTTATGTGTATTATAGTTTGAGAAGATAAGACAGGTGTAAATATTTGGAGGGGGAAATAACAAGTGTACTGCATTTAAACAATCCTCTTTTGTAAATTTGGTAGTCTTTAGAGTGATTTTTGCAACATTGTAGAATTATAGATTGGGAATGGATAAGCTGTACTTTTCTAGTAGGTAACGATATTGTCTAATTTTTTAAAGGTGTTCGAGAGGAGCAGAGACCTCAATTCAATGAACATTACAAGAGAACAAGATATGAAGACACAGAGAAACCATTTACTGAGAGTTCAGGATCACGATTTGGAGTTAGTGAAGGAAAGCAAAGATTTAGTTCATTGATGGAGGATAGACCTCACTTTGAGAGCTCTCCTAGAAATCCTGGCACAAGGACAGGGGGAGAAGGACAAGCATCTCATTTTGAAGGGCCTGCACCTACAAATTCCAGAATTGAAGGACCACAACCACAAACTAATTTAAGGTTTGAAGGGTCCTTAAGTCAGCCGTCTAAATATGATGGACCCCCAGGCAAATCTGGAGGGAAAGGTTCTTTGATATTTGATGGACCACCAGCACAAATGGGTAGTGGTTCCTTGAGGTTTGATGGACCTTCAGGTGTGGGAAATGCAATGCACTTTGAAGGTCCTATAGGGCAACCAGGGGGAACTTTGAGATTTGATGGTCCCACAGGTCAGTCTATGGGTGGCATAAGATTTGAAAATCTTCATGGTCAGCCCAAAGGTGGGATGAGGTTTGAGGGTCCTCATGTACAACCAGCCAGTGGGATTAGGTTTGAGGCTCCTCATGGTCAGTCATCTGCTGGGGTAAGGTTTGAAGGGCCACTTGATCAGCCTTCAGGTAGTATGAGGTTTGATGGCCAGCCCTCAGGCGGAATGAGATTTGAAGGGCCACATGGCCAACTTTCAAGTGGGATAAGGTTTGAAGGGCCTCATGACCGTCCTGTGGGACCTCATGGCCCCCCAGGTGGTGGAATGAGGTTTGAGGGACCCCATGGTCAGCCTATAGGGCCTCATGGCCAGCCTGGGGCTGGTCTGCGGTTTGAAGGGCCACATATGCAGCCAATTGGATCTCTTGGCCAACCAGGAGGCAATTTGCGTTTTGAGGCACCACATGGGCAGCCTATGGGTCCCCGTGGGCAGCCAGCAGGTGGTCTGAGATTTGAAGGTCCCCATGGGCAGCCTGGTATTGCACCAAGATTTGAGGCGCCACACGGGCAGCCAGGGATTGGCTCCAGATTTGAGGGTCCTTCAGTTCAGTCTGCTGGTGGGCTTAGGTTTGAAGGGCCTATAAATCAAACAGGCCCACGATTTGATGGCTGTCCATCAAGATTTGATGGCCAACCAGGTCAGCCATCACTTTTGCAAAGACTGGATGGATTACATGTGCAGGCTGGTCCAAGATTTGAAATGGGTCCTTCTCAGCCGGGCCCTCGGTTTGATGGTCCATCAGGTCAGCAGGTGCAATCCCGATTTGATACACCAATATCTCAGCGGTTTGAAGATCAGGCTACACGATTCGACCTTCCTCTTGGTCATCAAGGTCAAAGAATTGAAAACTTATCTAACCATCCTTCAAGACTAGAAACACCACCTTATGGACAAACTGGGCCTTACAATGAACCTCCAAACCAGCCGCCTTACAATGGCCCATCACAAGGAATGGCATTCCAGAGGCCTGAGCCAATATTTGAAAATCCACAAGGACCAAACTTCAATGGGCTGCCTGTTGCTGGAGCACAGGGCTTTCCAAATGCACTTAATAGGGCACCTGGAGCTTTTTATGATGACAAGAATCTTCAAGGCCCTCAATATGGAAACTTTAATAATATAACTGTGGGAAATATTCAACCACCACAACAGGTAAGAGGACTTGCAGAATTTTTCCTTTGCACAACTTTGGCAAGTTAATTCTCATGTGAAACCAAGATACCTTCAGTGGAACTGTTGCAGTCCTTTTGTCATAGATCCAGTGTAGATCCAGTTGAAGTAACTGTTCAGGAAATGAGAGAAAAAATGTCTTCAAATTTTCATTTTATTCCCTTCCTGAAAGCAAAGTGGAATTTATGCTTTAGTGTTTGATTAACACAGTTAGCCCTCCTTCCTCCAGAAAGTAAATAACCACAATCTGGTTTCAATATTGATATTCCAAGTTTAATATTAATTTATATTTTTGTTGCTTTTTCAGTTGGCTTTTTTTTGTAGCTGAATGTAAAACTCAGATTGATGTAGAACTTGTAGTTAAAACAACTTGAATATTCAGAAGTAAATCAAGCTGCTGCAAGTCCCAATTAGAGTATAGCACCATTGAACTTGTGGGATTTACAGAACTGTTCATTCACTATTAAGGAATTACAGTAGTGCCTCACTTGACGAGGATAATTCGTTCTGTTCAAATAGCTGTTAAGCGAAATCCTTGTCAAGTGAAATTAAAAAACCCATTGAAATGCATTGAAAACCAGTTCAGTGTGTTCCAATGGGCGAAATACCTGCTCATTTTGTGAAGATCCTCCACAGGGCAGCCATTTTCCGGTGCCTGTAAAGCAAGGAATCTGTCCTAAAGCACAGCGGGGAGCCATTTTGCATAGCCGGCGGCCATTTTCGAGCCGCCGATCAGCTGTTTTAAAATCGTCTAGCAAAAAATCGGTTCCCGAAGCAGGGAACCAATCATCGTTAAACGAATTTTCCCCATAGGAACATCGTTTTGCGATCGCAATAGTGATTGCAAAAACTTCATTATAAAGCGGTTTCGTCGTTTAACGCGGTAATCATTAAGTGAGGCACCACTGTAATGCAGTAGCTGAAGTTCTGGTGCAGTTATACAAAAGGTGCAATTTAGGGTGAATGTCATAAGCTAAACAGTATCTGGTGCAGGGCAAGTTGCACCTACAAATGTTTCTTAACTTACGACTATTAGCTGCTGAAAGCTAGACCTTTGCTTAACTGCTCAGTAAGTGTTTGGTCAGTGAATTGTGGTTGGCGGTAGCAGCTGGATTTAGACCTCCTGCATTGAGCAGGTGGCTAGACCTTATAGGTCTCTTCCAACTCAATTATTCTGTAATTTTATTATTCTAAAACAGTGCTTTTCTCTTGACAGGTTCCTGTTATGTCAGTAGCAGCTGCTCAACCTGTTCCTTACAGTCAAGGACAGCCACTCTTACCGGTTCAGGCACAAAATCCTGGAAGCTTTGTCCAGAATCAACCAGGTAAGTATTTAAACTTTTTGTCCTTTTAATTTAAATGTTAGTCTTTATGAAGGCTTAATATTGTCCAAATATTATTCTTTGTTATTCAGAATATATATATTTGAAATACATACCGTATTTTTGCTCCATAAGACACACTTCCCCCCCAAAAAATGTGGGGGGGGGGAAGTCTGTGCATCTTATGGAGCAAAGGCAGCAATTTTGTTCCCACTGGCTCTGTGAGGGGGAGAATCGTAAGGGTCCGGGTGAGCCTTCCAGGACCCTTGCGACACTCCCCCCACCCCCGTACAGGGCTAGTGCGGGCGAAATCGTCAGCTTCTGGAAGTCTTTTGAGGCTTGGGAAGCTTCAGAAGACTCCCAGAAGCTGGCTATTTCGCCCCC